ATGGAAGTGTTGGTGGAGGGGTGGATGGATGAGTTTGTTGATGGATAAATGGTTTGGTGGATTGATGGATGGATGGATGGATGGATGGATGGATGGATGGATGGATGGATGGATGGATGAATGGGTTGGTAAGTGGATAGATAGATAGTTGAATGGATGGATGGATGAACTGGTTGGTGAATGGATGGATGGATGGATGAACTGGTTGGTGAATGGATGGATGGATGGATGGATGGAGGATAGATGAATAAAAGGGTTGGTGGGTGGGTGGATGGATGGATGAATAAGTTTGTGAATGAATGGATGAATGTACGAGTATAGATTGTGTATATTGTTTTCCACTGTAGGTACTGGTATATACACATCTGGTCATAATGATCAATGCATTATATTGTATGACACATGAATGCTTATGGGTTGATCTTTTGCGTATTGAGAGACTTCAGATCCTACCATGATCTCCATAGCGCTCCAGCGTGATGTGCCCCAGTACATGGCCATACCCTGGTTTATAACAAACGTCATGGCACGTACCACCTCTGTCAACACAAAAGCCCAGCAGTGCACGTGATCAGCGACATGGCATCAGTTCAACCCAGGCTCACTGGAAATATGTGCTCAGGGCTTCATTTTTAACAACTGACAAATATGTACCCTGGACTACGTTCCCTTGCAGTTTTTGTTTTCACAAATCCACTAGAGGGCACCGTAAGGAGTTTTTGACTATCTCAAATACATTATGGGACACGTGTTCTCATAGGATATGTGCCATTTCTCGTAAATCCACTAGAGGGCATATACATTGCAATAAATATTTACGTATTTCTCATGTGTGTCGTAGCGTTCATTTACACCTAAAATGCAGCCATATGTACATATTTCTCAGTTCTCAAAAATGTACACCAGGGCACATTTTCCCAATGAGCCTGTCTTGCATTAATTATGCATTCATAGCACATGCCGTAAAAGATGTAAAAAAATAATAACAGACCCTCCATGGGGCTGTTTACATCACTTCGGTTGGCAAAGACAATATCCACGTAATCCAGCTGTAGTCTAGACAGGGAGCCTCTGAGACCTGCAGATACAACACCATCAGCATCCACCCGCTCTGTCATTCTTATTATTACTGTTATTATTATCACAGTAATAAACAACACTTCACCTTCTATGATGTGTTTTCTGGACAGGCCTCTCTCTGTCTCTGCCCTGAGGATCACAGATGAGTCAGAGAGGATAGAAATGAAGTCAAACAGAAGATGAATACATTCTCACAGCATGCTAAAACGTAGACTATATAGTGAAACTAGAATGACGTTTTAAATGCACATTTAAATTTTGCTTTGTTTGAAAGTAGCACGTAAGATACAAGTTAAAAAATAATAGTAATATTTTGTATTTTGGTCACACTTATGTGTCCTAATTTGGAGTGTGTAACGATTGTGTAACAATTGATGACCAACTAAACTTCTCTGACCACATTTCTAGAAGTGCTCGATCTTGCAGATTCACACTCTATAACATCAAAAAGGTCCGACCCTTTCTATTTGAACATGCAGCTCAACTCCTTGTTCAAGCTCTTGTTCTCTCCAGACTGGACTACTGCAACTCTCTACTAGCCGGGCTTTCAGCTAACTCTATCAAACCTCTTCACCTGCTTCAGAACGCAGCAGCACGAGTGGTCTTTAATGAACCCAAAAGAGCACATGTCACTCCGCTGCTCATCCGTTTGCACTGGCTGCCAGTTGCTGCTCGCATCAAATTCAAAGCTCTGATGTTTGCTTACAAAGCGACTTCTGGCTTTGCTCCTTCTTATCTGCTCTCACTTCTGCAGATTTATGTGCCCTCCAGAAACTTGCGTTCTGTGAATGAACGTCGCCTCGTGGTTCCGTCCCAAAGAGGGAAGAAATCACTTTCGCGAACACTCACGTTCAATCTTTCCAGTTGGTGGAATGAACTACCTAACTGCATCAGAACAGCAGAGTCACTCGCTGTCTTTAAGAAACGACTAAAAACTCAACTATTTAGTCTCCACTAAAAAAATTAAAAAAATAAAAAAAAATTCTTACTAATGTTTTGCTTCTTATGCTGCGTTCACAGCAGATGCGGAACGCGCATCAAGCGCGAGTGATTTACTTGTTAAGTCAATACAAACGCACGAATAGACATCCTGCGGTGCGATACGCTTGAATGGTGCAGCGCGAATGACGCAAATAGTGGGAATGGCGCGATACGCGCGAATGGAGCGACGCAAATTTATCGTTTTGCGCATTTGACGTGAATCACTCGAGTTCGAGAATCTGAACTTTAGCGGATATTCGCGCCACGTTAACCAATCAGGAGCTTGCTCTTGTGGGGGCGTGATTGTGACGTATCGCCTGTTCATCAAACTGGGCTTGGCTCAGTCAGAAGCACCGCTGAAAGCCTCCGTCATCCAGGTTCAGTTTCTGGAGGAGTTTATGAGCTCACACAGCTGGATGCACCTCAGAATGGATGTAGTGGACTCAGACACGACCCTAAACATATCGACGCTATTTTTCAGTCTTCATAAAGCACTTAAACACTGTTATTTTCTTCATAAAATCCATGTTAGCCATTTAGCTATGAATCTAGAGTCACCGGGCAGACAGAAGCCCTGCCCATCACGTGAATCCGCGTCTGTTCTGAAGTGAATTCGACGCGTGAATGAAGCGAGTAACCTCAAATGTTTACGCGGCTATTTATGCCTGAATAGCGTGATTTATCCGCGCGTTCCGCGTCTGGTGTGAACACAGCATTACACTTTATTACAGAAATGTGTTGGAAAAATCTATTTTCCGTTTAAGAGAAATTGGGAAAAAAATACAGGAGGGCGAATAATTCTGACCTCAACTGTTGACAGTATTCTTTCATTTGTGTCAGTCTGAATAAACTACATGTAAAAACTGAAGAGATACTCACTGTCCGCCCCAGTAGATCTTAGTCGTTACTACAAAACTGGACCGTCTGAAAGAGATTTAGGTGGAAAATGTTGATTATTGCAGTCAGGACAAGCCTGGAACTGTCCTATCATTTTGCTTCTGAACCAAAATTGACCACCACATTAACATTTACTCTGAACTCAACCATTAAGCAATACAAAATATAACCTTATACATTCTCCATGGTAAAAAAAGAAGAAGAATGGTACAGTA